CTGTAGAGCTGCACCATGGTGCTGCGCGCCCCCTCCAGCTCCTTGTAGATGTAGACCACGGCGAAGGAGCTGTAGTCCGTTTCCTCGATGCGCACGTCCAGGTAGCCCAAGTCTGGGGAGGAGGAGAGCTGCAGGGGCCCCGGACCGACCCCCACCCACGCTGGCCTCTGCTCCCAGGGGCGAAGGGAGCGGGCAGGAGATGGTGATGGAGGGGGTCCTGGGTATAAGAGCAGTCCCATGATCACCCCATGGAGAACCGGCATCAGGGGCCTAGGAAGGCGGAGGGGCAGGACCTACCTGGGACTCTGAAGTGTCCCTCGGTGCCCACCTTGAGGAACTCGGCGTCCTTGCGGTTGCAGCGGTCACCCCTGAGGGTGCACAGCCCACTCACTCTCCGGGCTTCCCAGGCTCCCCCACCCGCCAGCGGCCCCGCGCCAGGCTCACCAAGGGAACTCCATGTGGACGTTGAGGTTGCCCCCAGCCCCGGCGGTGACGGCCGTGGTGGACATCAGCAGGTGGTCCTTCTTGCCCAGGAAGACCTTGCAGTCGGAGGCTATGGCGACCACGTACCAGAGGCCTGAGAACTGGGAGGAGCTCGGTGACCAGCAGGCTCAGGGCCCAGAGCACAAGGCCGACAACCCAGAACCGGGACTTGTCCGAGGACACAGGGTTGGTCTCCGGAGTGTCCACCTCTTGGGTCTGAGACCGGGGTGGAAGAGAGCCCTGTTCTGCACGTATGGGGGCAGGTCACACCACCACTGTGAGCTCCCTGCCCCACTGTGAAGTGGGTCAGCAATCACCCCCGACAGGGTGGTTTCAGGGTTACGTAGAGAGCAAGTCTAAAGGGTCGTAGGCCAGAGGCCTAGCGGTGGGAGTCGGCTCTGACTGTTCCCCCATCACTGTGGGTTTCAGCAGCTCAGCCCCCAACCCCTCCACAGCACAGCACGGAGGCCTCCGGTACCTTCTTGGCATCAAAATCTGGCTGCACCAGGACATCAGCCCAAGCCGTGGACGCCCAGAGCAGCACCAGAACCCGGCCCAGCAGGACGGACTGCATCCCCATGCCTGTCTTTGGCCCCTGACTGTGTCTGAGCGCCAGCGGGCCCGGCTTTATAGGTTTCAGCGGGCTCACCAGATCAGCAGGCTGGGCGGTGGAGGGCGTCCAGGCTCCGGAAACCCCAGCCTCCTTTGTCCATTGTTGGGCACAATCACTCAAGTGTCCCCACAGGCTCCGGGGGTCATTTCCTGGACGGCTCCAGGAAGCTGGGCTCTCACCTGACTCCTCCAAGCTGGGGTTTTGCCCCCTGACCTGCCGGGCAGTCCTGGGGGCCCGAGCAGAGACTCGGGTCCTCAGCACCTCCGTCCACCTCCGGTGTGGCTGGGGCAGGGGACCCAGGACCCTTGGGGGTGCTGCGGGGAGCAGTCAGTCAGGCTCAGGTTTGCTCTAGCCAGCGGCCCCCACTCCGGGCCTGGGTCCCCCCCAGTCCTCGCTCCCTCTGCTCCCCACACCGTAGTGAAGTCACCACTGGCCCGGCCTTTGGACCTTGTCCAGAGGCAGAGCCTGTGCCAGGGCAGCTGTGACAGAGGTGACATCAAAGGCCTGGGCGCCCCTCACTCCAGACCTCCTCTGCCCCCACCCCTACCCCCACACAGCCACCAACTAGGCCTCCAGCAAGCACGCGGGAGGGTGGGGCTGAGCTGTCTGTCACTCAGGATGGATTATGGTCTCTGAGTCGCCTTATCACCGGTTGCATAAGTATTTGGGCGGGAGTGTCGCCAGGGCGGCACTGCCGACTGGTGGGGGCTTGGGGTGCCAAGGCCTCTGCAGGTGACCTCTCGTGTCCATGCAGACCCAGCACCCAGGGACACCGTGCCAGGAGCAGCATGTGGCCTGGGGCACCCCACCCAGATGCCCCGGGTCCCCGGGGAGGGCTGGAATTAGCAATGCTCCAGAGTAGAAGGGGTCTGGGGTGGGAGAAAACCCTGGTGGCCAGCGTGAGGGAGGGGTGGAGCCGAGGCTTCTGCTGGCGCCTCCACAGGGTTCAGGAGGCGCCAGCTCGTCCCAGAGTCACAGGATAGACGGCAGGCAAAGTCTCCCAGGAAAATATTTACACAACATACGTCTGATAAAGGACTTGGACCCAGAATCTACAAAGGACTCTCAGGACTCGAGAATAAAAACAAACCACCCAATGTGAAAAAAAAAAACAAAAAAAAAAACGGGGAAACATGGTTTAAAAAGACATTTCAACAAAGACATTCGTCCAGCCAGCGTGGCTCAGGGGTTGAGCGTCGACCTATGAACCAGGGGGTCACGGTTCAATTCCTGGTCAGGGCACATGAGCCCGGGTTATGGGCTCGATCCCCAGTGTGGGGCATGCAGGAGGCAGCTGATCAATGATTCTCAAACAAACAAAAAAAAAACACGGGGAAACATGGTTTAAAAAGACATTTCAGCCCTGGCTGGTTTGGCTCAGTGGATAGAGCGTCAGCCTGCGGACTGAAAGGTCCCAGGTTCGAATCTGACCAAGGGCACATGCCAGGGTTGTGGGCTCGATCCCCAGTGGGGGACGAGCAGGAGGCAGCCAATCAATGATTCTCATCATTGATGTTTCTATCTCTCTCTCCCTCTCC